TAGTTGTGGATATAAAAGTGTCAGTTTTGAGGTTGTTGTTTAGAAATCAAATGGTGGATTTGAATCTCTTATAGGAAACAAAAAAAGATCGGTTAGATAAGATATATATTCGAAGTGCAAGCATTTATCTCCGGTTGTTTGGAAGCATTGCTGGAATTTCCAAGTACTTTAGATGATCAATGGTGGTTGTAATTTTATTAATGTCAATCAATTTTATTGTTAAAATTCTGCACAAATTTTATGAATTTGTGGCCTAGAGATGGAGGGGATCAATCGTTCTTATGCTGATGTGAGGCGAATGTCGAAGACGTTGATCTGTTGTTAGTGACCTGCAGGTTTATTTGGTGCTTTTTGAAGCCTCATGCTCAGTGGTGGGGTGTTATTTGGGGTGTGTTGAATGATGTTTCAGTTTTGTTTAATTTCTGCTTTTTAGTTCATATACTAAGGAAGTTGAAAAGCGTTTGGTTATTGTCAGTTGCGGCAGTGCTTTGGAGTTCTGGGTAGCTTACAATGATTGAGAGTTCAATGATAAATGATTATTTTTGAAGGGCTTGGTCTTTTATTCTAATCTTCGAGCTTTAGTTTGGATGCATTTGTGGAGGAACTGGCACGTTTAGTTGAGTGTTATAATCTGATTCGTTTGGTGTTGGGGAGTGGTGGTGTCATTTGGCGAATAGCGTTTTGAGGTTTCTCTGGTGCTGAAAAGTTTGTGTGGTGAGGGGTGTTCGTTGTTGTTTTCGTGGATACTGCTATTGGACTATTCTCTTGTGCAAGGTTTTGACTTTGTAAATTTAATTTCATATTCAGAGGTTGGAGTTGTTATTTTTTTTCAAGAAGCGAAATTGGATTCGTTTAGTGAAAAAGTAATGAGGGAGTTGGTATGATGTTTATGTATTCGTTTCAGCAATCACAGTAGAAATACTTGATGGCCTAGGTCCTAATGTCATTTTCAGCTCCAAGGTGTTGCTATGTCGTGTTTTTTGAGGCTTTTGAGAAATTTCTAGGAATTTTTCTTATAGTGTGGTTGGGATGCTTCGTAGTATAGCATAAATTCGATTCTATGGTGAATCATTTCAAGCCTATAGTGCTCTGTTATGGTTCTTTTGTTAAGGATGCATAAGTATTTTATACTGCAGTTAGTTGAATCCCAAGGATTATTCAATGTTGATGTTATTGAGCTGGTTGAGTCTCTTCTTGCCGTTGGGATGGCGTCTTACGAAATAAAAAATCGTTGAACCTTAGTAAATTATGGATTATGTGACAATTTTGTGATTTTCATAAAGTTGCTTTCAAGTGGTAGCTATACGGCATGTTTAAATTGTTGAAATTCAGTGGATACAGGTTTTAATGTTTGATACTACAAGGTCATGTATATTGCTTCATATGAGTTGTTTGAGTTTCTTTTGGTATTATTATGAATTGTTGCCATGTTTCTCCCAATTGCTCGTGAATTTTATCTTTCTATCATGGAGTCATTGGATTAGTTTTCCCTTTAGCTAAGCCAGTCCCTAGTTTATGGTATTGTGAAGTGGGTGGGAGTCTCTTGCTTTTCAGATGATTGTAATGTAGGTTCTTAGTTTGAGTTCATGTGTCGTCCAAGCAATGGGAATATCTATTTGGCTACTTCAGTTCTGAGAAGATGGTCTGAAATTTACAGTTCTTGTAACTAGTTGAATAGCGTTAAAAATCTTTCTAGGATCCCATTGCTTTGGTTGGGCGAACCTTGTAGTAGATTCTGATTCGCAGGTGAGTTTGAATTGGGTTTCAATCTCGTTGATGAGATCACGACGGTGGTGCAATATCTTTATTGAGTAGTTAGATTTATCCGGTCAATTGCACAAGTGATTTTCGGTTCTGCGCCTAGAAGTCTTACCGGATTGGCGAATCATCTAGCCAAATAAGGGATGGGTTTGTGTGAGCTATTTAAAGCATGTTGGTAAGGGACATAACAGCGCAGGTTAGTTTTGTAATTGCGCTCTACTGAAAATTATATATATTGGTCTGGCGTTTTTAGTTTGTGATTGTTTGTTTTTGGAGTTGTCGAGTTGTATCTTTTACGGAGTTGTGTTGTATCCTTTTCTTTCAATTAGACTTAAAAGCTCTGTTTTAAAAATTGGACCGGATCGGTCGGTTCAATCGGTTTAACCGAGAATCGTTGTTTAGTTCGGTTCAATCTAAATCGGTTGAACCATTATTAGTGAACCGGCCAGAACTGCTGAACCGTTCGAACCGGACCGGTTGAAAATAGAAAAAAACTGGGATTTTTGTTTTTTTTTTTGAAAAAAAAATTAAACCAAACAACGTCGTTTGTTAAACGAGCCAAGTCGAACTCGAGTATTGCTGAGCTCGACTCGAACTTGAAAACTTTAAAAGTAAGCTCAACTCAACTCAAACTCACAAGCTAAAAATTATCAAGTTCAACTCAAACTCGAAATATAATATTGAAACTTGAACTCAAAAAGGCTTGAACTCAAAAAAAATTAGAAGCTCGATTGAAGCCTAAAATTCGAGCTTGATTGAAGTGAAAGAATAGTTCACTCAATGCTCACCAAAAAGCTCCATGATTTTGAATGTCAAATTACCTCTATTATTTATAGAAGTTAGTTGTGATGCGCTTCTATGTTTCTTAGCAATGTGAGATTGTTTTGTTCTCATATTTTTACTCTTTAGACTTTTGGGATGCTCTTCTATGTTTCTTAGTCATGTGGGATTATTTTTAAAAAAAAATTAAACCAAACAATATCATTTTGTTATGATTTTTTTAACCCCAAATTTATTTTTTAATTATAGTTATATAATTATATTTATTATTTAATATGTTTTACCTTAAATATTATGTTGTAGTTAATTTGAATCATTTGGTTTCACTTGATTTTATGGTTTTTAACTTATATATGTTATGACTTGCTTTGAATATGACTTGTGATATAAAAAATTATTTTTTATTAAATATTTTTGGTATTTTTATTTAATTTTTTAAATAATTATGACGTTGTTAGGTTCTTCCGACCGATCGGATCAATTCAACCGGTTGAATCAGTGAACCGATAGCATGACCGGTTTGCTAACCGATCCGATTCTGAAAACCATGCTTAAAAGAGGTTTTTAGTAAGGCATCCAACTTTAATTTTGGGTTTGTTTATTTAAATCCTTAATAAAACTGTATTTTGTAGAGAAAAAAAATTAAATTTCAATTATCAAAAACACTTAAAGAGAACTAGAAAAACAGTTAAATTTTCTAATCAATATGCAATATCTAACGGTTAATAACTATAGTTTTATGTTCCAAAACATATGGAGTATTTTTTTTATGTTCTAAAGTTTTATCTTGATTAATTTGGATCGATCCGAATTACACACTTAATTTTGGTAGACGAGTTTTCCAACGAGATTTTCCATATACACAAAGATTTAAACTCAAAATCTTACTTAAATGATATCAAATTATTTATCACTTAAATCAATTTTGTGGTACATGTAATATTATTATCTATAAAGGAAATCAAAATGGCATTGTAGATTTAGTACATGATTTAACAGATGCAAGTTATAATAAGTGTGTGCTGGCAGTACTGGGAGAGGAATAGATGCCCCCTAATTAAAAAATATATTTCTATTTAGATATATTAAAGAGCGGTGAGAGCAGTCATCTTCTTAAAAATTTAAATTTATTATATATATATTTTTTAAAAATTACACATCTTTATTAAACTGATTTCTCTATGAAATTATATAAATGTCTCCATTCTTAAAATTTTAAAAATATATCTTCTAATATAAAATTTTACGTCCGTTACATTCCTAATTTCTACATTATTATATAATAATTATCTCATATTCTCAGTTGAATTTTAACTTAATTAATACAGACATTGTTGAAAAAAAATGATAGGTTTAAACGTCGAAAATTTTATAAGGATTTATAAATAGTGTAATAAGCATCTAAAAAGTTTATTGTATAATGAATTATTATTTGATATATTATTATTAAGAAAAGTTATAATTAGTGTCTATGCTATATTAATTTTTAAATATATATATATATATATTTGATAACATCTCAACACTACTATTTTTTTTCTTTCGATGATATATCAGATAATAATCATTATAATTATAAAAAATATTTGACATATAATATTAAAATTTATATAATGAAATTTCAAATTAATACCCGTAAAAAATGCACAGGGTGAGTTCATTAAGCTTTTGCTGGTGTGTGGGGGTGGGGGTGGGGGTGGGGGTGGGGGGGGGGATTTTAACTTGAAGCCCAGGCCCAAGTGTCTATATTGACTAAAAATGCTTTATAATATACGATTTTAATCAATTTTTTTTGGATTTGTCAAAATGACCAATTAAATTGCAGTATTACCACGACCACGACCACGACCCCGACCCGACCCGAGACGGGCGGCGGCGGCGGCGCGCGAGAGTCCCCCTTGTTCTCTATCACTCAACAAAGAAGTAGGAAAGTTAAGTCTTAAATACCATTCCCAATAGTATTTCCAATACTATATGGGATTGAGCATTACCAACACTTGTTTCCAATACAATGTGATTATTCAGGAAACAATTAACAATCATGCACCTTAAAACAACTGAATCAGCAACCAATTGCATTAGTATTATACGATTAAATATGTCATAATTAAAAGTCAATCTACAATCAATCGCGATTATTACAATTTTAAGCAAAACATTCAAAAATAATATCACTATTTAAGGCTCAATCCCACATAATATTGAGAACAAGTGTTGGTAATGCTCAATCCCACATAGTATTGGAAACACTATTGGGAATGGTATTTAAGGCTTGGCTTTCTCACTTTCTTATTGAGTAATAGAAAACAAGGAAGACTCTCGCGCGCCGCCGCCGTCGTCTCGTCTCGGGTCGGGTCGTGTTACGATTTAATTGGTCATTTTGACAAATCCAAAAAAATTGATTAAAATCGTATATTATAAAACTTTTTTAGTGACCGAAATTTTTTTTCCTTTAATAAAATCCCAATATGGAAAACAAAAGAGACATAATTGTCCAATAAAACAACGAAATTTTCTCGCTCTTTGCCCGTCTTCCCGTTTTCCTTGTATTTTCTCTTGTTTCTTTTATAAATTGGGTAATTCTGGAATTTGAAGAGCTGGGGAAAAAGGCTAAGGGACAAGAGAAGATGATGTTTTTAACTCAAGGAACAAAAAGCCAGTAAAGGGAGCGAGTCAACTCGTTGGTAGTTGATGATGACGATGAGGGTGAATTTCGGGGGACCGGGCCAAAGCCAATCCCGACTAGTGGGAGACTATATTCTGGGCCCGAGAATCGGGTCGGGTTCATTCGCGGTGATTTGGAGGTCAAGGCATAGGCAACATGGGTTGGAAGTAGCAGTTAAAGAGATTGATAAGAAGCTACTGAGCTATAAAGTCAGTGAAAATCTGCTTAAGGAAATTTCCATTCTCAGCACTATTAATCACCCCAATATCATCCAACTTTTTGAAGCCATCGAGGTCTCTTTCTTTTTGTTTTATCTGATTAATTAATGCCCGCCACTTTTTGTTTTCTTTTCTTTAATTTTTGAATTATTTTTACGATCGATTGATATGTAAGTAATGCTGTGGCAGACGGAAGATAGGATATTTCTAGTGTTGGAGTATTGTGGTGGAGGGGATCTCGCGGCTTATATTAATCGACAAGGGAAAGTGTCAGAGGAAATTGCCAGACATTTTATGAGGCAATTGCGTACTGAGATTTGAAATTTGAATGCTTTTTATTACAATGTGTTCTGGAACCTCATTAATTGCAGTAACAGTTATAAAAGACAAATTTGATGGTTAGGGCAATATTGTTGTTATTGTTTTTGCTTTATAATTTGGAAGAAACTTTTGCTTCTGTACTACTAATGGTTTTTGAATTAAATGTTTGGTAGTTAAGGAAATGGATTTTGCAAATTTTATTGTTGCATATGATGCCAAACTTAGAAATTTGTAGCTTCTTTTTCCGCTGTGATTTTCTCAGTTGCAAACATACAATTGAATCATATAATAATTTTTATGGTTGTAGTATTTGGGGAATGGGATTACCTTATAAATTGTATTAGCTGTTCAGATTCGAACATATTAATGCCATATAAGTTGGTGATAGAGGAAAGGAGCTTGTCGTAGGTGTTTCTCTGGAGTCAACTTTTTTCCTCATATCCCCAATTTTACCTGGCTTATTTTCATTTGCTATTTAGTGAATTGAGAAAATTCTGGAATGCCCTGATCTGTTGACTATCTCGTGCAGCTGCAGGATTGCAAGTTCTTCAGGAGAAACACCTTATTCATCGGGATTTAAAGCCACAGGTGTGGTGCTTGAGTATCATAGATGTCTTGTTAGTGCAGACCATGTTTGGTTTGAGCATTTGTTACTTTAAAAATTTCAGGCATTATTGTTTTATAGGACTCTGTAGTGTGTTCTCACTTGTTGGGTGTTAGTAGATCAATTTAGTAACTAACTGGCATCTAATTTCATCAGTTTTCATGTTCCGAGTGCTAGGTCATTTATTTCTTTTAAATTTGTTGTACCTTTGCAGAACTTACTGCTGTCAACTAATGGAGCAACTCCACAACTTAAGATAGGAGATTTTGGTTTTGCAAGGTGAATATTTTAGTTGGCCTCTTACAAGTTGATGCAAGGCTTAGTTCGTAGATATTGCTTCACTTTCAAACCTGCACTATAACTCGATCCGTTTTTTGCTTTTGATACTTCCGGGGAAAAACAGTCAAAGCCTATCTAGAAAAAGGTGTTCCAACTTCCATGGAACATCTGTTAGCCATAGTCTTATATCATGATACAAAATTATATAATCGGGTTATAAATTTTGATAATTATATAACATTTTGGCGCAGGGGTTGGTAGTTGTTAGTAGAAAGCTATCGATGTACTTTATTTTGCAGATCCTTGACACCCGAAGACTTGGCTGCTACATTATGTGGTTCACCATTGTACATGTCGCCGGAGATTATTCAGAATGAGAAGTATGATGCAAAGGTGAAACAACTACATGGGTTTTACTGCCTAAACCCTCCTCCCTTCTATTATTATTCTTTTGCTATCTTTTACGTAACTGTAACAATCTATGCAGGCTGATTTGAGGAGTGTTGGGGCAATCTTATTTCAACTGGTCACTGGGAAGCCACCATTTAATGGAAACAATCAATTACAGGTTTCTGAGTAAAGTAATCCATTTGGCTTATTATCAAAGCTTAAATGCTTCACATCACATATTATTTATCATGATTCTATGCTTTATGCAGCTGTTCCAGAATATATTGAGATCCACTGAACTGCAGTTTCTAGAAGGTGTCGTACAAGAATTACATCCTGATTGTGTTGATCTTTGCAGAAGCCTTTTACGTCATAATCCAGGTACTGCCTACTACAGCGCTGGTGTTTATGCATATATGTTCACGTAAAACTGATTATTGTCCAACAGTCATTGAGTTTGGTTCCATATTGTACTAATAATTTGCCTGCAATCTGCAAATATTTGGGATCATAGATTTACTTGCAATACTTTCCCGTGATCTAAAATTTAACTTCAATTTGCAGTTGAGCGGCTGACATTTAGGGAATTTTTCAATCACAAGTTCCTTGGGGAGACTAGGTAAAATCCTCTTTTAGTGAATTTGATGCTCCTTGGTTCAACTTCCTTTATGTAAAGTTGGTTATAGCAGTCGAAGAAAATCAAGCTATTTGGATTGAGTTTATTGTATCGTTATCTGTAGCAAAAAGGTGGATGTTGAGCTGGACGCATCAAGTCTGCAAGCAATGACTGGGCAGTTCGGTTCTTCTGTGAAGAAGTCTCACTTACCATCTGGTGATCTCATTGAAGCATCTAGCAGAAATAAAAAATCAGCTAGTTCATCTGGAAGTGGTATGGTATCACGTACAAGAGAGTATGGCTGTTCATCCGGTGAGAAAGGTGCTCATGGGGCAATGCCTTTTGTTGTATGTGGTAACAAAGAGAAATCTGTCCATAACCAATGTTCATCAGATCAGCTCAGAGGTGATTTCTTCTGTCAAATGGTGTTGCCATTATGCTCTTTTCTTTGCTTTGTTTTTGAATTCTTCATTTTCCCTTCATTGACCAGTAGGTGACTCAATGGATTCTATTGAGAAAGAATATGTTCTAGTCAATCCTCATTCCGCATCAATGGAAACTTTCTCTTATTACCCTGAGACATCCCTGCAAGATTATTCAACTTTAAAGTGCCAAGCAAAGAAGAGTGACCAAGAATCAGCAGTTTCTCTGGAAACAAAAGAGACTGCTGAGAGCTCTGCCGGTTCTGCGAAAATTCCTCAATTTCAAGGATCAGATCCACGAACATTGTCATCAACTGAATCAGCTATATTAAGGGAAGTACAGAAACTTAACATACTGCATCCGTCAACTAGACTGCAGTTATTGCGTCAGTATGCACAGCCTATTGCAGAACTAGCTCAAGAGAAGGTGATCTTCTACTGTTTTCTGCTGATTAAATTACAACCTATATCTTGTAGACTGGCAATTTTATGATCTAGAACTTCATGGATATTTTATTTCTTGTGGCAAAATCTTGTCTCGTGTAGAGGGAAAGTGAAGAAGTTAGTTTGTCCCCATTTATACCACCATGTTCCTATATGGGCCTTAGATGATCTGGATATTCCAACTTGCTGCACATTTTCAGGAAACCCTCTTTATTTTGGGTGACAAACTTTTAAATGCTTTAACTTTTCGGTTTAGAAACATTGGTAGCAAGATATAGCATTTATTACTGTATGTGAACTCGTGTTCATATTTGAGTCGAAGCCTCTAGTTTTTCAGGAAGAACAACATCCGTATGTCTGTTGTTTCTGATATGTCTATTGCTTTGAATGAGACATCTCAAACATCAGTTTGTTCCAGTACAATGCAGGACTATTTCTTGAATCATTTTCAATTGAACTTCTTGTCCTAGCTATATGGAAGAAAGCTCTTCAGATCTGTGGCTCTTGGATAACCTCTGCTCCAGACAACGAATCTCATGGAAGCAGTTCAGCCAATCAACCTACTACCAATGTTTGGGGTAATGCAGATTTGGGTCCAAATTCTGAATATACTGTAGGTTTAAACACGCCTTCATCTGCTTGCATCTGGGCGGAGCAAGGCTTTATTGTTGCATGTGATCGTACCGAGAAGTTACAATGTCATCTTCAAGATATGGATGGTTAGATTGTCAATCTGAATTGAACACTTCGTTTTCAACTTCTCTTAATTGAGTTTTCGATTGGTTTAAGATGTATTGGTCAAATAATTGCAGCTACAGCTGAGATGCCTGATGCCATGAAAATAATATATCAGACAGCACTCACTATAGGGAGAAGCGGTGCTGTGAGTAACTTGCATAAAGGCCATAATTTATTTACTTCACCCTTTGTAATTGCGACTAATGTAAATTTTCTTTTCCCAACTTCTTGTAGGTGGATGAGTATATGCGAAACAAAGGTAGTGCAGCAGCATCGTACTCGAAAGCAATGCTTTTGCTTTCTTTTATTATAGGAGAGGCAGAGAGTCTTCCCTTGAACCCATCATTTTCATTAACTCCTGCTAATAAGAAGCGAATTCAGACCTACATTAACAACTTGCAGACTCATCAGTCTCAGTTTCTAACATCAGCACCATTCCCTAAGCTGTCTACAGACTTCCAGACCAAGTGAAGAGCTCTGCTTTTTTTTTCCAAAACTGCAGCGAGTTTCAAACTGTGCTTTATCGGTAAGTATATTCTGAGTAGTGTCATTCAATGAATAGACTTGAACATGATATATATATATATATACATATGTAGAACGAAAAAATAGCAAATACTGGCAATCTGGAGGAAATGATCTTACATTGCATAGGAGTTCATGTAAATAATACCATATTCTTTCTCTTGAGATACTGGAAATTGGAACTGAGATGTAACCTGTACAGTAATGTTCACTATACATAGAATTCTTTCAATTGTTATTGTTAAAAACCATAGTTGATGGTTTTTTTCTAAACCTGACTGCGACTATCAGATGTTGATTTGATAAATGACAGAACCTGTCTTGGATAGTTGGATTCCCTGGCAGGCTCAACCCAATAACCCCTGTTGTCATCTTAAAATAGACTTAAAAATGAACTTAGAAAGGAGAAATTGATGGGATTAAATTGCAAAAATAATCAAATTATTTTGCTAAAGATTAAAAAACGGTGTTTTGAAATTCGATTTTGATTTTTTGAATTGATAAAATTTGAATTGGACTCAAATTTGAAATATGATTCACTAATTCAAGTTGACTCGAGTAACTCTAAACAAAAAACTAAAAAATTAAAAATATATGTTTTTTTAGTCAATAAATTTTGTTCACATCTAACTCGATTGATTCATATAAGCTTTGAAGATGGCATCTAGTCATCCTAAGATCTTGAGTTTGAACGGCAGCAACTATGATATCTTATACTGTATGCTAATTTAAGAAAAATAAGCATAAAAGCAGTTAAAAAGTAAGTAGAAACCAGTGGATGTCCCCTTGCAACTGAAAGACGCGAGCAAGTGGACCTTTCAATACTGGAAATAAGCCAAAAGCAAGGGCCATTCAATACTTGATACCTCTTATCTAAGTCCATTTCGGAGTTTTTAACTACAGTTGCCTGGTCCCGGAAAGTAGATAAGCCAATATAACACATATAGTACACAAATCTAGACGTGAAGTCCCGTTAACTGCAAGCCTATGACTAAAAAATGAAGTCAAATATTGGGGGCAGGGATTAGAAATTACACACAGCAAACATAAATTTCCATTTGTTAATTAAATTCGCTTAGCTTAACTCAAGTACAGGCTTCCCCTTCCAAGGGTACCCTCTTCGGATCTTTCTCATCAACTTGACTGCCACTTTTCATCACTCTGCTTTCCTGGGCTTCCAGAGAGCACCTTTTGTATAGTTTAAATCCTGTTCGCCGGCCCTTAAGCTTTTCATATCTTAACCCGATTGTCAGCAGGCTCTCTTCCACAATGTTCTTAGCTTTTGACAATGCATTGTTCTCGACTTCTTGATGATCAGAGCAAGATCTCCTTGCCTGGCTGGTGAGGTGAAAAGTTGATGTCTCATCTGCATTTTGCATGTCTTCACCTACATTTTCCTTTTGCTGCTCCTTGTTCTTGGCGTCATGTGGTGGAGAAAAGCTTGTGGTATTACTTCTCTGGAGAAGAGGGCTTGAAAAGCCAGTCGGCCCTGACAAACACGAAAAAAAAATGCTAACAAATAGTAATGGAGCCATAAATGTGACATTACAAAAATACAAATGGAATAATAACAAAGTTAAAACTACATGAAAAAAAAAAAAAACAGGAAAGACAAATCAACTCACCCTTCAGATACCTCCTTCCAAGAATCACTCAGGTTGGTACTGCTTCTACCACGACGATTATTACATTCAACTTGTGGACAATTTGCTTCTGCTTCCACCCATATTTTACATAAACAAAATACTCCTACCTATTTTCAACTTTAATTTATTTCTATGTTATCGTTAATTAAAAATTTGTGTACAACTAAAATAAAAACGTAACATAATAATAAATATCATTTTAAAAAATAATAGTAATAGTTAGATAACTAAAATAAAAAAAATAGTAGTTGGATGATTAAATAGGAGTTTTACCCTTTACTTATTAATAAGAATAGAGGAGCATTAGACCGAGTTAAGGTTTTAGGCAAACTTTATTTTGCCCAAACAAAAGTTTGATAATCAGCCAGTAATTTGGGCTGCCTTATATAAGTAAATAAATAAAACAGGAAGAAAGGCCTACCCATCGAATCAATGGCGTAGCCTACACATTAAAGGCTATAAACATACATCATCCGCCGAAAGCTAGCCAAACCCCAAATTATATTATAAAACCCTATCTCCATTTTCTATTCTATTTTGTCTGGCAAACGTTCACGAGCGGAAAGTGCAGTGGTTGCGTAGACAAACCCCCTCGCGTCGTCATTCATCAACTTTTCTTTTTGAAATTTGACCCCTTTTCCCAACCTACTTTATTAATGTTGTTGAAGAGGCGAGGGTGGTGACTATTGGTAAAAAATGGAGATTCAGATTCTTCCATTGCTTTGATTGACGGTACGGTTATGGAGGAAACATTAAGAAAGTGAGGTATAGAGCCATGTCCATTGCCCATGCCCATGGCTATGGGGGGACCCATCCAAACGAAATTCTTAGGTGCAACTGTTGTGCATGATCGACCTTATCATTTGCTTCATTGGAATTTGAAGAATGGTAAGATGCTTCATTTAAATCTTTGACAATTAGCAATTACTAACAAATAGTTATAAATACCAAGTTCCCATGAAAAAGAAACCTCTGCGCTACTATATAGGAAGAGCATAGTGAAACAATAAGAGATGAATAGGGATTTGAAAGCTTTTTGTTGATGAAGGGACGTAGTCACATTGCCATGTCACCTGGTTCATGTATCAAAGTAGGGACGAAGTAATGATATATATATATACATATATATATATATATATATATATATATATATATATATATATATATATATATGTTCTGGTTTATTCTTCCCGATAAAACAGTCACTTCTTCCAAAAACTGAGACCAATGTTTCCTCCTTGGATCCATTTTTCTATACGTTAATATAACTTGATTTTAATTGACTTGGAAAGAGCTTAGGGTCATTAAACAAAACCTGACAATGATAGGCTGTATAGGGTTTTTAAAAAGTAATGGATAACAATGGTGGATCGGGAAGAAAAACGGAAGCTAGGGCTGTAAAAAAAAAAGCAACACGAAGACCAAAATGATTAAGACATGGCTACAATGAGAGTGTGATTTGTCTCTGGTTCGGTCTTCGTTTCATTCTTTTTTCAGATGGGATGTATTCCCTTAAGCTGCTGCTGCCCACTTCTGCATTTGCAGCTCAGCTTATGACAATTATCAGTGTGGGAACGTGGGTTGCTCACTAGCTCTCTTTTCACCTTCATCCAATTGACACCTAACATTTTGTGTTTTGCTAAAAAGGATTGTCACCTCAAGAATCTGCTATTGCAGAACTTTTGGTAATTTCGTTCAACCGTGAATGATTTTGTTGCTATTTCAGTTCAAAACATAAAATTTAGGACTCAAATAATCTAGTAGTAAAAGTAGATACCGTAAATCTCCGTTGTTATTTCTGTCCACGGAAGTCTACGGAGAAACTCTTTTGTTGACCAAAATCTCCCTTACGCTAATAAAAACTTCCAAGACTCGTATTCTACGGATCAACCATAATCCTTTGACATGACCCCTTCTAAACTCATGTGATCTACTAAAGTTAAACCTAAGGGTCGGTTTAAATCTACCAAAGTTAAACCTAAGGGTCGGTTTATAAACTGCACTTTGGGGTGGGGTTGGGGGTTGGGAGGGGGATTAGCTTAGCAAATGAATTATTGACTAGTAACAAAGGAGCCCATGAGATGGAAATGAAGTATATGCCCAAGGGAAACTAGAGTCCAAAAAGAAAGGCGCAACCGAGAAAAAGAAAAAGTAGGCGGAGAGAACGTCAGTATAATGATGAAACGTCTACGGACACCCCAAAGTCAATATAAAATGGGAAGCATCATTGGCTAAAGTGTAATCATGAGATTCAGACTTATACAACAAATTTCCAAACTTGATCAACCCCCCTTACAATGCCCTCACCAAGGCCCCCAGGGTCAGGGCGTGGTGGCTCTCGGTTGGTCCCCACACAGAAAGCTAGTGCAAGAATAAATAAGATACTTGGAAATTACAGTACATAGATTTAATTATAATTTCTATTTAGTTAAAAGCAAATAGGATCATTAGTGAATAAACAAGGGAAGTTTCTCAAGTTAAGATGTAAACATCAAGGGCTCTGTCTTGAGTTGTCTTTGTGGAACAAAGCATTTGCTTACAATGGACCCCCCTCTTTTTCATTTTTACTGGTCTGGTTCTTCACTTTTCTATTCCTACTATCGAATCAAAGTCAGCTGCCTAATCAATAATGAGAATATCCTTAACATTGTAGTTTAGAATTAGCTGAATATTTGATGAACTGCTGCTGCTATCTCATCCGCTAATCTTAGCTCAGAGTCGTCCTCCATCTGCCATTGCCATTTTCAACATAACCCAGAAAATAACAAAACAAAACCAGCAAGAAAACAACAAATGTTGAGAAATTTTGGGTTTGAGCCAAAATAAAACATCTCTTTTTTTTTAGAAAATGAATAGTACCTTGAGATTGAACGAGTAAAGAATAGATGCTTGGGAAGTGGTAATATTGAGATGCAAAACTGTTAATCTGAGACTTTCCAGGGTTACAATGGCTTGCACCAACTGGCCAGCTCTTTTCGGACACTGAACCTTTAAGTTGACATGATTGTGTATTACATTAACCTCAACTTCAGCTGCACCTGATTTGTTTTCTGCTTTTATTTCATCTACAAGGTTTCCATCTTCCTTTGACATGGAATTATCACTGATAGTGTTGCTTTCTTCAAATCCTCTCATTCTCTTCTGTGCTTCCAGGGATTGAAGAAGTTGCTCTAGCTCCTTAACAAAGTCAATTGCACCCCCTATAATTGACGCTTGGTCACCCTGTAAAACAAACCCAAACCATGGTTTTCGTTAAACAAAGTATATTAACAACGGGACTAAAATTTAGTTCAAGGTAAGATTAATATACTCTTTGGATATAATATGGAGGCATCAGAGAGCGGAGGGAATTTAGATAATCGCTCATTTGACGTCTACGGTTGCGTTCGACGGTAATGTGGGTCATGCGTTGGTTCACGACTTCTTCTTTGTTCTTGGCTGCCTTGGCTCTTTTTCGCTTCCGTCGTTCTCTAGTGACAGGAGGTGATTTTGTGAAGTTTTTCAAAGGCGAAGACAACCCCAAGTTGTTGCCTTGTTTACTACGGTTGTCTGCTGTTGCTGAGTTTGGCTGGTCTTGGTTCGACCCGGAGCTGAGAACTTCGAAACATGAACCCGAAGGGGGGCTTGTCTTAACGTCTTTGGTCTCGGATTTGATCGGTGAATGCAAGTCGAGTAGTATTTCATGAGTGACGCAGCTTTCTAGTTCCATGGCTTGAATTTGTGTTTCCATTACCGGAACGAAAGGATTGTTGTTCATCTCCCATGTCTTCTTCAAGTGTTGCAGCCTCAAAAGGGTCTGGAAATTTGGTTCTCTAAAGGCACATTGCTGAGCGGATTCTACACTCTGAAGCATTTGAAGAAATGGCATTCCCTCTTCTAAGCTTGGTGTTGAAAACTGTGCTTCTTCTTCTTCTTCAACAAGACTTAATCTTTCTGAGTTCACAAAGCCTTGTTCGAAGCATTCCACCTCCAAATGCTCTCCTAGGAACTTCAATGAACAATTTAAAGGGATCAAACAAAAGAAAATAAGTAAATTTCTTAACAAAGTGGAGTGCACATGGCTCAGTTTTAGCAGATAAAGAGAAGGAAAACAGGATGAGAATAGAATGTCAAAAGAGTAAGAATCAGTAGTAGTACAGTAGTATTTTCCAGGAAAACAACATAAGATGCCTTGAATGCAAGCAATTTTTTTTATATATAAACGCACTCTACAACTTGATTTTAGAAATGGGATTTAAGAAAATGTAAAAAGAGAAAAAAGAAAGAAGCTCAAGTCCTAAAAGTAAGCAAAATAACATACATAAGAATTAATTGGTCCTTGGAGCTTCTCCATGACAGCTTAGTAGTAATATGTAGCTGAAATAAATGCCTTCAAATTCCTTTTCTCTTTCAAGCTGTGTGCCCTTCTCTGTTATCCAACATTCCATATATTGCTGGCTAACAAATCAATACAAGTAATAAATGTAACACCCCAAATGAAGTGGAATAAGACCTTAAACAACAAAACCCCATACCCAACACACAATTCTATTCTTCCCCCTTTGTTTCCCGGTGCTTGGTATTAAATGCTTTGAAGAACTCCCACTGACAAAAGGAAAAATGTGAACAGAGTTGAAATGCTGTAACAATGGTGAGAGCAAAAGAAAAAACAAGAAACAGACACGGTGAAAAAACGAAGGGTGAAATAAAAACACCCAAACTAAGAATGAGAAGATATATAGTAATGTGTTTTCAGTATTTGCTAGTGGAAGGTTTGGTGAGAAATAGAGAGAGAGAGAGAGAGAGTCTGGTTTTCAAGGTCCCAAGCATTATTGGCTATGGCAGTTTTGTCCTGCAGCGGGGACACACAGTTGTGGGGACTGCCCTTTTGAGCGTACACCAAAGGGGAAATAAACACTAACAAACCTTTGGAAAGTCCTGCTATGGATTTTGTCACCCGTCTGATTCATATCGGGGCGTTTCCTTAGACCACATGTCCACCATTTTTCCATTTTATTTATGTTTAAGAGGGTAACTTCTTATAATAAATTAGCTAAAATTTTAGATTTCAATACAATACATCATGTTTTTCCGTAATAATTCACTATAATATTACTGGTAAGACATTCTTAGTTGTAATTAAAATTATTATTAATCGTATAAATTTTTAGAGCAAACATATAATATATTAAGTTAAAATTTATCGTAATTTAACATTTTCAATTAAGATTAAAATTATTATCAATTATATACTTTTTTAAGTCAAATATGATAATATTTTAGGTTAAAATTACTCCTAAATTAGTAGGGGCGCACAGCATAACTAGCCACAACTATAGACCTTCGTTTTCATTTTAGGGTTTGCACATGGGGTCAATGATTCAATTTAAAAGGACTTTCACTTGCCTCCAGGTTCATATAGCGACCCTTCAAATTTATTCCACCATCCCTCTGATTAGCTTCTTGCTGGGAAGCTCAACATTTTTCTATTTCAGATATATTTAGAGAAAAATACCTCCCGTTTTATAATACCAAAACTACGGGTTGTTTGTTTGACTCTGAATGGAATCATTTAGTGTTGAATGCTAAACGGTTCAGCATTCAACGTGTTTATTTCGCGCCTCTGAATGATTCAGTATTGACTGATTCAGCAAAACAGTGCTGAATGATTCAGCATCAAAGTACATTCTAAATGATCAGAGCCATTATCAAACAACATGTCACATTCAGAGCTTCTGAATCATTTAACATTTGAATCATTCAGCACTTAATCATTATGAAGTAAACAAACAACCCCTACCTGTCAATTATTTTTACCTAAAGAGATTGGCTCGTAATATGTGGGGTTGTTGCCCAATTTCCACTGAGAAAACAGCTGTGAGCCCATTAAACTATTCATTGTTTTGAAAGGACAGAAACTTGTCTTAGGGGAGGAGAAGGATATTGAGTTTTAGATCTGTCTTTTGCCTTGAAGCTCAAGCAGTCAAGTTCCTCAATGTCCCAACCACCCTTAATGATTTCTTGGGTCTTATGTTTTGTACAAGTTTGTTCATCAATCTTGTCATGCTGGTAAAAGTTTCAACAGTCCCTATATAACTTTACCACCCCCTCCCCAAATATTCCTATATATAAATTTGTATAGAAATAAGGTTCCTGCTTCATTTTTATGGTATCTTCCTTTGTGTTTAGGTAAAAAAAACTCACCATTAATGGGAGAACTCTGATTAAAATCATTCAGAAGCCTAACAGAGACAACAATGTTGTTGACTGCCAGACTAGTTTGTAATAATTCTGGGGTTATTTGAATGATCATTTTGCATGCGTGAAAGATGATGAATATTTTCGGTCATTGATCGAATCGAATTGTCAAGTTACACTATTGTTAGCACGTTAAATTTAACTGAAGTTCCAACAGTAAGCAGCATTTATAACTAATATTATTATCAGCTTCTGGGACCAGCAAAAGCAGAGATAAAATTGGAGAGCCTGAGAATTATAGACACATAGTATTGTATTGAAAAATCTTATCCAATTGAACTGAAGTTTATCCATTTTGAAGTCTTCAGCCACACAACCTGAGGGGCGCACTCTCTTGCTAAACAAAACTGCAAACTTTGGTCTTGTCTTGTAGTTCATGGATTATGCCCACGTATCTACTTGTGTTGGTAAAAAAAAGTACATAAAAGAGCTGCCATTCATCTCATCAACAATATCTTGTATTATCTTCATGGTTAAACCAAAGCCCCATTTTTGCAAGCAACCTTATCCTCTTCTCGAAACTTGAATATATTTCATCCTTCATTTAGATTAAACTGGTTTCATCACCTTGTTTGCCGGTGATTGAGACACGTTATAGATGTAAGATGGTCTTCGGATGCCGGTGCCCCCGACTCCAAACATGAATTGTCACCCTAACAACTGAATATGTTTTTAGGGATGAACGTAAGATTTTATGCTAAAGGGACGGAAACAAATTATCAATAGAAAATACAAAGAAAGTATCTAAAATATATGAAAATTTAAAATTTTCAAGGAAGTGACTGTCCCGACTACCCTCTTCTATCCATCACTTGGTGCCTTGCTGGTAAATTTTGCTAAAATTTCTTTGAAGGGATGAAGATAAATTTTCCTTTAAGAAGAGATGTGCATGCATTTATCAAACTAAAATGGCAATAAACGTGAAACGGACCGAAAGAGATGGTTCCTTAAAACGAAATTTGTTTGATAGCTACTGATTAAGTCTTGGATAGAGACTAGTAAGCAGAAAAGAATGTGCTAAACTACAAAATATCAGCTATATAATAATATAGTTTAAAGATGGGGGATGTATGTAACAACAAGCTATGAAAAGAGAGGAAAATGAGGCCCCAAGCATTGTCCAAATTGGTCCCTTATCCGTATGGTAACACACTAATGTCCGATATTAAACTCCTCGTACGCTCTATTGTTGCATTGTTTCTGGCCCAGTTTTGAATTCACAAGTCAACAAGACCTTCCCCCAAAGTAATGGCCCATATATGCACCTTGTGAATGGCCACCACATCCCAATCTTCTAGTATAACATCTGTAAATTTATTTAAAATTTTAAATCTGTTTTTTTATTAATAAGCAATGTGTATTCTTATTTGAATTTAAATTAAATATTACTATTTATTGAATATCTAAAATCATAAAAATTGTAATATTAAATTCTAAATTATATATTGAATATTCAGATAAACTGTAATTTGAATGGAAAAGATCTGAACCGAATCATTTGAAAACAAACATATTCTCAATTATATAGTTCAAAGTTTAATTTTGATATTTAAATCTGTAATCCACATCTACATAAATAATATATAATTGAATTATGTACACTCATACTTGAGTTTGAATCACCTCGTCCCATTTTATTTTCTTTAAAAACTGACTCTTCAAATAATTTACCTATTAATTCTCCATGAAACATGACAAGCAACATGGGCAGAATGTATATGTTTCTTACTCGAGTGTATGTGTATCTACCCTCATTCACCAGATCCAAAATCCCACACGGTGCCGTTGAATTGGGTACACATCAGAGTTTCATGTTTTCTTTCATCCTGCACGTGAAAACTCCAGAGCACTTTGCATCACATTCTCATCATTTTAATCACTTTCTTTGATTCAAATCAATTTACTTCTGTTTTCTATTCTTCTGTTTCTACCTGTTGCCCCACCAACGGTTTTACATGAAATTACGTGAAACCTCAGAGAACAATGTTTCTTTTAACAATCTAGAAAGAAAAGCTAAGCTGTGAAGTAAATATTAAAGGCCCATATATTGAAGCAAATTATAGTGTATATGTATATATATATATATACAACTAACCTGCCTAACTACAATAAGTCAGTTGTCCAATGTGCATTTCAATCACACAGGAAAATGATCAAGACTACCTCCCTACTTCCAAAATATTTCGGTTATCATATGATCCTTCTTTCTTCCAAGTCAAACTTCTTGAAGATGCTTGCAACATAAATTATATGGCTTCATGTTTTCACAAGAATTAAGCTCCTTGCCATCATCTACAGGGGTGTGGGTGTCATGTTGCACTTGACAAACTGTCCTTTTACTCGGGAACGCTGCTCTGCCAGTCGCTTCCGGTTCTGATATCGAACCTGTTTTGGTAAAAAAGATAAAAGATAAGAGTACACTGTCATGAGCATGCAACAATAGGTCCCATCCTTGAACTTACCAAAAATAATGAGTAGTAATAATGTACCTTTTTCTCAAAACATCGATCTTTCCGCTTAAGTCGGAACTTTGTCAAAGCGGCTTCTCTTTGGCTGGTGTGATGAGTATCCATCCCTTTTAATCCATCATGCACAAAGCGATTGCTGCTATTGGAAATCTCTGTGGTTTTATCAATTGCAGCAGCAATAGCAGCCCTAGTACTTGCATTGCCCCAACTCATAACACCATGTGCGGAGCTCTTCTCATTATCTGAGACATCATTACATAAATGACTGCAAGCACTCTGATCGTCAATAAGAGAACTGCACCTTAGTTCCTCAACGGGCTCCTGTTTTTCCTGCCCTTGAACAGTTTGAACAACAGAAGAATTGGTTGTTTCATCAGACCAGTGGTAACCTTGTTCTGAGTCATGAAAATCAGGATCTGAATGCACCGAGGTGCTCACAGGAATGGGAGCATATTCTTGCTTTGCTGCATGTTTGGGACTACATGAAGAGGGTAAACCTGATTGTGTACGATAAAAGTGTGGGAGGATATTATTACATCCAGCATGCATATCATCCCTCCTCACACCCGTAACAGAAAACACCCCTGGTGGGGTGTTTGAATATGTTATGTCAGATTGGCCTTTAACTGAACTAGGAAGGTTCTCCCAACTATCACTCGTTGTAACAACATGAGGTTGAGAAATGCTGTTGTTACTTTCCAAGTCTCGTATGGGTTTGCTGTCATCCACCTTCAATGCAGCATGGTTGCCATCTAGTGCAGGGAAAATGGGTTGCAACGACTTCCTATTCTTATACCTGCATTTCAAGAAATAAAGATTAAGCATACACTATACAGCCTCATTTCCTTCAAATTTCAACGAATTCTGTACATAGATAATCAATAGAATATATTTTGTCCAAAATTTACTTCATCCTGAATTCAGCTGCTCCTTCACATGAAATTATGGAAACCAATTACTTTATTCTGGTCCGCCAATCAGATACTTGGCGTAAGGCAAAATAAAGGATGCTCACTCCTGATCATGAATGAAGAGTCAGCCCCTGAAATATATATACCTTGCCTTGGATCATTTCCCAGTTCTATAAAAGGAGGTTCAGGATGTCTTTACCGAAGGAAGCAGATTTGCATTGAAATATGATATGGTAAATGCATGTCACCCAGTTAAAAGAAAGGAAATAAAAGAAAGGAAACAAAAAGTTTACCATGAAAAGGCCGATGCATCAGAATGGTTTAGTACATGCTTTTCACTGGAACCTTGATTCTTTGTGCTCACTAAACAAGATCTTCTCAAAGAAAGCTCCAACTGAGGAGAACATTCAGACTTGTCTCCACCATCACTTATTGAAAAGTTGCTCCTAGGGTGTTTATCAAATGAAGCAATTAAATCAATAGCTCCAGTGGGAGATTCCATTAATTTGTTGTTGCATCCAACTCTCGCAGAAAAATACCCAGATCCTCCTTCACTTTCTAGTCCAACAGTATCATGTGTGATCCCTTCAAAGAAAGCAGAGTTTTCTTCCAATTTTGATGCAATGGATTCACCAGTGTCACTGCAATGAGCTACCTCCTTTACAAATCTCTTTGAATTTTCAGTTGAAAATAGCTTCCCAGATATCCCTGCTTGTTTAGAGGAAAATACTTTCTTTTAGCAGAAATTAAAAAGGAAAACTGAAGTATTAAAATATGGTAACATACCTTCCGCTTGGCCCATATTTTCAAACGACTCTTGACCCAGCTTGACAACATTTCCCAGCTGCACTCTGCCTGTATCACTATGATTTGAACTCGTACACTTCCATTGCGAAAGAACCTGCATATTTCACATGTATGTACTCTAAGCTTCCAAGTAAGGTGTTGTACAAGAGCTCTGCACAAGTGATGACAACACAAGCAACCTCTATGTGGAACTGCATGAAGCCAACCTACTCTGGAAAAGAAATTTTGCTCGCATAGGCACAGACTCATAGAATCAAGACAAGTCAAGGTGATTACAATAACATAATGGCCCCTCATAAAAACGAACAAATCTTGACTGATACTTAACTCGTCATAATGCAAACAACTAACTAATTATTCATTCCCTGGGCTGTAGGACATTCAAAGAACATGGATGCCCTTACTAAACATAATATCAAAAGATAAGAAAATGCTCACTTGGGTAGCACTCTTTTCTTTGATTTTCTTTGTTGATGATCCATCATCAGTGGATTGGTTACTCACAGCATTGTTCTCAGCTGCGGCTTCAACTTTATGTTCTGTAGCAGTTAGATTATGCGGAGAACATCCACCGACTAGCTGATTAAAAATGTAAAGCAAATATCAAAAACTAAAAAATCAATGTAACTTGAATGCTAGTTTTCAACCAAGAAAAAATGCAACAAAATGAGAGCAAAATGCATACCATTTGTCTTCTCCAAACATGGTGCCACAGATTCCTCAACTCATTCCTCCGAACAGGCTTGATAAGAAAGTCAGCTGCACCTTTTAACATAAACTTCAGAACCATGCTAAATGAATCTTCCGATGACATCACTGGTTTAATTAGACACACACAAAATAAAAAGATTTTAGCTTCATGTCTAATCAAGTACAATTAATAAAATTTAGAACATAGAATTAAAGATGGTAAAGCATCGATCATATTTTTAGTTGAAATTACTTACTTATAACTGGAATATTTTTGCAGATATCATGTTCCATGACCAAAGTAAGAAGCGCGTATCCAGACATTGAAGGCAACTCTACTTCAGTCAATATAAGATCAATGTTATGAGGTCGATCCTTTAAAGTCTCCCACGCCATTAAACCATCGGAAACAGCCGCAACTATTGAGGGCAAAAAACCGAAAATTAGGAATTAAAGAGAAGCAGGAGAATCAAAATAGTAATACAATTAATCGTTAGATCTAGACAAATGGAATAACAACCGATTTAAAAAAGAAAGAAAGAAAGGAAAGGTAAAAAAGAAACCTCGGTAACTGCATTTACGAAGAAGAGCGGCGATAATCTGACGAGTGGAATCATCGGCTTCGACTAAAAGCACTCTAAGAACCATTCGCGGTAAGAATCGTTCCCATCGAACAACCTCCAAGGATCCATCTTTTTCGTCATTCTTCTTCTTCTTCTCCGCCGCTCCTACCTCCACGTCGGGTTCTATTTCAACTTCAACCATTTTCAGATTCCCTATTCAGTAATAGCATAACAGGAAACCCTATTTCTCAATAAAAGAGAGGGGAGAACAGAGTACGATGAAGTGGAAAGGAAGAAAGGAGAACTGTTAGCAGTGGAAAGGAGAACTAAAGAAATATCTGGAAAGTTCTGAGAGAATCGAAAACCGCCTGAGTGTTTTCTGATATCCAACTTTCGTAGTTTACGACCGCTAAAACCACATAAAATATCTTCGTCTTCTTTGAAATAACACGTAGAGAAAGAGAGGCGAAGACTCTCCAAATAAAAAAAACACCGGTTGCGGGAGGAGTTGGATCAAAAAGTGGGCCGCCATTGGCCTCTGGTTGTTAAGCTGATGTGGCGCAACAGGAGCCACTGTTTTTTAAAGTGATTTTGTTTGATGGGGGGCGGTGACGCTGTATGGTGGGGGCCGCAAGGGTTAGGGAGGGACACGTGTCGGGATATTGTGGTACTTGGAGGAAGATATTTTTCAGAGGCGTCACCACGTGACATCAAGTGACCACGCTTGGGATCTCATGGTTGAGAATTTGACACGTGGGTAACTTAAAAGAATCTAGGATTTGTGGCGTTGATCTTACGTTTTGCTGGATGTTACGAGTAAAACCCAAGGATATCATAGCAATGCTTTTGATTACGGGATAAAATGGACCCACTTTTAAGTTTTAACTTTTAAGCAAGTCACCGGAGATTTTAATGTTTAAAGAATTATAGTTATTGTTTTAGATTATAAGTTCGATCACAAAATTTTAGTATAATAAAATAAAATTATAAAATATTCTGAGACGGAAAAGTCATTTGTATTGTTTTAACAAAGGGATACAATTTAGATTTTGTGTGTGATGACATGTTTTATTTTTTATTTTCTCTTATCACGTTCTTTTCGACAATCAAATCTTTAGCAAACTTCGGTGCATACCAGATAGACATGGTCTATTATAGGGACGGACACACCCCCTCGATCGATCCCTTATCTATTATGCAGATTAAATTTTATGTGAAAACGGTCATAATGTAACATGATGTGATCAAGAACATAACAGATCTCAAAATAATCGAATTGGTGAAATAACAAATGGGTTTACAAAACTTTAAGGCAAAGGAATTGCCATTATATATCATAGAGAGGCATAAAGGGAAGAACAAGCAGTGGGCGTTGGTGGGTTCACTGGGAAGCTTATTGAGAAAGAATATAGTTGGTGTGTTATGTATGGGAATGTCTCAGGAAAGGCGGGTTAATATACGGCTAATATACAGCATTACCGGATACATTAAAATGTATTTAATAAATTCGGTTTAGCGGTACCTATTATGTTGACAACTAATAATGTTTTAGGTAGAAAAAATGAAAAACTATTAAAAAATTTGGTAACCGGTAAACTTTGGTTATCGGTAAGTATCTATCCTTTTTATAAAAGTGTCCATACGTTTAACATATCAAGTAAATTTTACCGGTTTTGTCATAATGAATCTGGTTTTGTCATATTTTTACTTGTTATATTGTAAATTATCTATCCTTTTTATAAAAGTGTCCATACTTATTTCACTGTGAAAATATATTTATTATTATCTTTAGTTAATATTGTTAAATTTAAAATCTAAATAATATTTTATAAAATATCAAAACAATCAAATAATTTTTTGTGTAAATGAAATTATTAAATTAATATTGTAGGTGGAAAACATGAAACACTATTAAAAAATTTGAAACATAAATTACATAACTTTCAAAAAAGTATATATCATTTTTATAAAAGTGTCCATACTTATTTCACTGTTGAAAACATATTTATTATTATATTTGGTTAATATTGTTAAATTTAAATGCTAAATAATATTTTATAAAATATCAAAATAATCAAATAAAATTTTGTGTAAATTAAATTATTAAATTAATATTGTAGGTGGAAAACATGAAACACTATTAAATAAATTGAAACATAAATTACATAACTTTAAAAGCAGTTTTAAATCCTAAAAAGTGTCGATACTTTTAAAAAATATATCGATCCAAAACGATATACCAGGTAAAAATATGATAAAACCGGTAACAAAATGATAAAACCGGTAAATTTAAAAGTGTCGATACGTTATATAAGGATCGACACTTTGTGAATTTAAAAGAGAAGCAGTTATAGCGCCTATAATGTGTCGATACTTTAAAAAAAAATATCGATCCACAACGATATAACAGGTAAAAATATGATAAAACCGGTATCAAAATGAAAAACGGTAAAATGATACCGGATATATTGAAAGTGTCGATACTTTCTTAAGTACGTGTAATAAATTATCGACACTTTCAAAGAAATAGGTAATTATCCTTTCGAAAGTATCGACACCTGACATAAAAGTATCGACACTTTTGTATTTGTATCGATTAAATATAAATAACATATCCGATGAAAATATAAGCTAAATATCCTCTGAAAATAGATAGAACGGACGAGTTTTTGAAATCGAAGAGTAATTGTTGCTGCATTTCAGAAGGCGTTTCTAAAGCGAAGTTTGTTTGTTTGTTGCTGCAGTCGAATCGAAAAGTATGTTGTCGAAACCCTAATTTTTTATTATTACAGTAATCGCGATAGGGTTTTTTATGTGTTGTTTGGGGTTTTGGAGTAAGGAAGCATTTGGGACCGATTGCAGGTAGAAATAGATATTCAAGGAAAAATATAAATGTCGATACTTTTATTAAATATTATAGGTAGAAAATGATATTATAGGTTGTATAAATGTGCCGACACATTTTGGTGTGGCCATTCAAATTCTTTTGAAGAAAACCGTTTTACCACAAGAGTAGTTATCTATATTTGTATATTGAAAAGTGTATGTAACAAAATAATTTGATTTGCGTAAACTGATATATGAAGGAAAAATGGAGTCAATGGGTTGGAAAATTGTTGGTGGAGCAGATGACTTTGAAATTGAGGCCGAGACTCGAAAGCAACCAAAGGGTGGATATATGTACTTCTAGTAAGTATCAATGTCTTTTTGTTATTATTGTTGAAATGGTAATTGGATTAAAGTATCGATAAACTTTAAATTGATTACAAATTTTAAATGTTAACAGTATGGCCGAATGCAAAAGGATGAAGGGAGATGGCACACAGAGCGGTTCGGTATGTAAAATGAAATTGACATTGAGTAGTATTAGTATTTAGTGTTAATGTATTGATTAAGAAACGTTTATGTTTAATATTAGGTGAAAAAAGATGTGAGGTCCAAATGGAATTCAATGAGTGATGCTGAAAAGGAACCTTACATCACACAGTCAAGGAATGATAGTAAAGAATACAAAGAACGGAGGAAAGCACATGAAAATAAGGTATTCATTAAACTTGTAAATACGTTGATACAAAATATATAAGAACTATAACATTATATATTGTTAAAAAATGTAGGAAGTGTCGACAAGATGCAGCATTAAAAGGGTGAATTTATTAATTAAACACCTTAAGGAGAAGGGTCAGTTGAATGTGCTGGGAGAAATAGGTTTTGGATCGTTGATCGGAGTAAGGGATCGACCTATTCGGAGGGAATTGTGTCGATCCTTGATGGCACAATTTGACGTCAGTCAATGTATGGCTAAGTATGGTGATTATTCATTCCCTCTGGGGTATCTACTGCTGCAGCCGTATTGGGGGTACAAAACAAAGGCAAAAGTGTTATAGAAGTCTGTAGGAGTAAGAACTGGAAAGCACTTGCCTCCAAATATGGTTTGAATCATAAGGTGACATATACTGAAGTTGAAGAGGATATCAAAAGTGGATCTTACTTGGGGGATGAGCTGAAGGCCCGAGTTCTATTGTACCTTGTCGGTATATTTCTTTGTCCAACGGGTGATACGTCAACGAACAAGGAATATATGAAGCTCATTTGCGATGAAGGCTTGAAGGGTGAATTCAATTGGGCTGAATATATCCATTCGAGATTGATTGAATCAATTATCACCTTTAAAAAGGGCAGCCAGAGATACCTCAAAGGGTGCATAGCAATCTTAGAGGTAAATGAGTTGAATCACTTTTTTGTGTTTTTATATAAAAATTCTAATTTTATTATAAATGCAGGTTGCACTGTTCGATTTTTGGTCGGGCTGTGAGGCAGTGCCGGCTTATGAAAGAACCGGAGTGGCACGCATCCGTGCATGGGGAAGGAAGAGGTGGTTAGAGTGATGGTGAAGTTGAAGTTGGATAGAGGGAAGAAGCAAGAAATGGTAATAAATGTAATTAAATAATATTAAGAATATAATCAATGTCTTAATATTGTAATTTAATTTTTTGAAGGTTATTGGCAAGGATGTAGAGGAGGCAGTGGAGGCAGAGGAGAAGAAAGGAGGGATGGTTGTATTGAGGGAAGAAGTATTGGGGGATGAAGGTGAGTGGGACGACGGTGAAGCAAAACAGAGTAACTTCGACATTTTGATGTCTGAATTGGCTGATATCAAAAAAATCCAATTTGAAATCATGCAAAGACAATCAAGAGTCGAAGAGAAACTTGATCAAGTCGTAGAGAAACTCGAGAGGCATAAGGGGGTAGTGGAAGGAAAAATAGATGGAGTGGTGAAAGAAGTAGAGGTGTTGAGGGGTGAAGTGGTGAAAGAAGTTTCGGTGTTAAGGGGTGATATTAAGATGGTGACGGAGAAAAATTTGAGGGAGTGGTGAAGGAGGTTGTTGATTTGAGGAGTGAACTTACGGGGGTGAAGGGGTGGTTGATAAATACTCGGATGAAGGAGCTCAATTGAAGGGTGAAATAAAAGATATGAAGAGCTATGTAGAAAAAAGTACGATGAACTGAAAAAATATGAAGAAGAAAAGAGGGAGGAGGAAGAAGAAGAGATGGAAGAAACGAGGAGGAAGGAAGTCGATGTCATTTATACACCGGAGAGTGTTATAGCAGCAGTTTTGGATTCGGAATGTCCTGCACCCCAGAAGAAGAAGCAGAAGGTAAGTTTAATAAAAGAATACTTAATTTGATTTTTATTATGTTGTTGTGACAAAAATTTGTATGCAAAATTGTAGGTTGAAAAAGCGGACATTCCAACCGGAATTGATGACATCGAAGCTGCAATTTGTGATTATTTATGGAATAGCGAGTTAGAATCGGGGTAAGTGAAATATATTGTTTTGTGAGTGATATTTAAATATTTCATGACAATATATTAATCCTAATGATTCATACAGATATTCTGTAATATCAATGGGAAATCAATTCGCTACTGTATACGACGT